GGTAGCTCGTGTCGTGAGCGCGCAGTATATGGAAACGTAGGTTCGCCGCCTGCCTGTACGCCGCCTTACAGCCAACCCGATCGCACCGGTATGTGGCGTTCGTGTGTAGCTTTTGATGTGTCTTTAGATTACCTCTGCTCGTGAACTGGCGCTGACATCCCGACCACTCGCAGACCCACTGATCCCTATTGGGATCGAGCGCCGGGACTATCATCGAGTGGCCGTCTCTGTCGCGCATGTGTTCCCCTAAACCCTCTTTCGATGTCGTCGTGTATTCGCAGCCACTATGAGTGCACCGGTAGGGCCGGCCAAACACGTGATCGCCGGCCTTCTGGTGCTTCAGGAGGTTACCCGAGAAGGCGAAGTGTTTGGAACAGTTCGGGTGATCGCAGAAAAATCGGTGTCCCGTATGAGACAACCGGTGCTCCCGAAGCATCCCAATAGAGCCGTAAGTGTTGCCGCAGTTTTCGTAATCGCAAACGTATTTCTTTGTCCGACGACTACTTCCGGGGTTCGCATCCATGTGTCCGCACAGGTGCTCCTCGAAGTCATTCCTCGACGTTGTCGTGTACTCGCACTTGTCGTGCGGACACAGGTATGGCTGTCCTAACAGGTGTCTACCCCTCTGCACGTGCCTATCCTTGGAGTTCCGGTACGCGAAGTGTTTGGAACAGTTCGGGTGATCGCAGAAAAAGCGTTGTCCCGTATGAGACATCCGGTGCCGCAGAAAGTGGTACTCGTCGTAGAAGTTCTTCGTGCAGCCGTCGAAATCGCACCGGTATTTCAAGTCCACATTTATGGTCCTCTTTGTCGACGGTTTGACACTTGATTTCAATACGACTTTCGGTCGACTTTTCTGGACATTCGGGTCATAGCTTTCATCGTCTGATTCGTGGCTGACATCTGTTTCGCTCTCTTCGACCACTTCTTCGGCATTCAATTCATTTGTTTTTGTCTTTGAATTACTTTTCTCTTCATTCGCTTCACTCGTCTTCTGATCACTACTTCTTTGGCAAACATTTTGTGGCAAAACGTCCGATAAGTATATGATTTGCTTTTGTGTAGACTTTTGTTGAGACGAGTGCTGTGTCTGTGGACTGACGGCCGAGTCGTTAGATTTGTTGCACTCTTTGTAATCACTATTGGATTTGCCGTCCGTTTCATAGCTATGACTGAGTTTGTGGTCATTTAGTTGTCTTAAATCTGGGAACCGTTTGCGACACCCGTTACGACCACAAGTATACCTCCCTTTCCTCCCATTCCGACCTCCTTTTCCTTTTTGGTTAACATTTGATTTATTGATATAAACGTTAGGCTTATTGTCATTCAAAGCAATCAAATTCAGTATTTCTTGAGTTAATTCACAATTAATTTCTCTAACATTCAGTAAATCTGTTAAATATTTTCGGCATTTCTTTGAAATCAATTCATATCTCAATAAATCTGTTGACAAACAATTGATTTCACGTTTCAATAGGTTTATCATTGAATGCAAGTCTTGGCGACTAAAATGTGACAAATCCACAAACGTTTCACTCATTTTGAGCACTAATTTAATTGCAATTAAAACACAATTTATGCCAAAATTAACCCAAACTTTGAATTCAACCGAAAATCACATTTCAATGCAAAACATAAACAAATCAAAAGTCAATTCATTTACATATAAAACGTCTACAAAATTACTGTCAAAACTTTCTTAATTTGGAAAACATTTTATTTAATCAAAAAACAATAATAAATGAATTTCTCTTTAAATTCAATACACATTTAATAAATTTTATTATAAACTCGTTAATCAAATTATATATTAGTAATTAAATTAAAACTAAACTAATGAGAGTCCGCTTAATAAGAGCACCGATAGTCTCGTATCACTGCTTATGACTTCTATTCATATGATTATTGAGACTCACTTTGTGTTGAGTATTATACTCACATCCGGGCCAATGGCACCGATACCTACGACTACCCGTGTGTTCACACATTTTAGAACCTCTTTACTACTAAACTGTCAGTAACAGCCCGGCCAATGGCACCGGTATTTAAACTATCAATTAAAAATCGCACAGGTAGTTAACTGTTGTTTTTATACCTGTTGTACTTTTGTGTGTTTGACAATCAATACGACAATTCATTTGAAAAATCAATTTTGCATTTGTTTACAACTTTTTATGAATACAAATAAGGCATCGAAATAAATTTACTAATTTTACCGATAATTCACATTTTAATCATAAAAATCGCGAATAGTTTACACATTTTAATGCAATTTATAAACTAATAATTCATTTAAATTATACAAAACTTTCGCAAATAACACACAAATTCTTACATTAATTACTAAACATTTTGTCCATTAATTGCACTTTTTATGAGACATTTTATGCGAGTTAAACGACGTCTTATTGCCGTACACTTTAGCGCACCCCTCATACGGGCACCGGTAGGGTCTGGCCATCGTATGCACGTTCGTATGCGCCGATAAACACTTCCCATTCTTGAATACCTGTCCACACTCTGGCCACTCGCACCGGACCCTCGCGCTCGTGTCGTGTGTCAACTGATGGGTATTCCGGTCGCATAGTCTACCATATAGTTGGCCGCACACATCGCACCGGTAGGTCTTAGGCAAGTGAGCGATCTGTTCGTGAGCTTCCAGCGACCGCTTAAATGTGTACGACTTGTCACACCCGGGCCAACAGCACCGGTAGACTCCGGGCATTGTGTGCGACTTCATGTGCGACGCCAGCGACTCCTTGTGGGCCAACACTTTCCCGCAGCCCTCCCACTCGCACCGGACCCTTAGCTCCGGGTTGTGCGCGGACTCGTGTTGCTGGAGCTGATAGGCTGTCCCGTAGCTCTTCCCGCACACCGGGCACTGGTGTCGAGTCGAGTGGTCGGCTGCCAAGTGCTCGTTGAGTCGTTGATTAGATTTGGAGCGAAACGGACAGTCAGTTTGCGGGCACTGTAGCCACGGGTCGGGCATATCGTCCGGATGTACGATGAGTTGGTGGCGCCGTAAGTCCGGGTACCGTTTGAACGCCTTTCCGCAGTCCCGGAGCTGACACACTGTGTGGGCACGGAGTCGATGCTGAGTGAGGCCTACCCGTCCTCTGACAGTGAACTGACAGCTCCCGTAACCGCACCGTAAGATCTTATCCCTGACCCGTTTGACGGGCTCTCGAGGGCTAGCTACTAGTGCGGGGGGACTCGGCTCCCGATCGCACCGGTATTCCGAGTCGTGACACACTTTTATGTGATTGTTTAGGTAGTGTTGAGTAGCGAATACAGCCGTACAGGCCTTCCAGTCGCACCGGTAGACGTGACTCGTGTGGACGTGTCGATGGTTTTTGAGGAACATTTGGTTTTGAAATGTTTTGCCGCAACCGATGTAATCGCAGCGATATTTACGGTTATACTTCCGGTGCTGTCGTTCAGTGTCTTTGGAAGTCTTATCGCATATTTTGGGATCAGTTCTCGACTTCTTGTGAACCCTTTGCCGCCGATTATTGTCATCGCATTTGTCGCTCATTTCTGTATCACTGGAACCACTGCTGTATTCTTCAGCCGATTCTTCACTAGAAATGGATTTCATTTGATTAGGACTTGTCTGCGAAGTCGTGTCCACCAATTGTTTGTCAACTTCTTCGGCAGCACTGGACTCGTGTCCAACACTAGTGTCATAGGGTTTGTGTGGACACATGTCTGCTATACTTGTGAACCGTTTCCCACATCCACTCCAATGGCACACAAACTGTCCACTCGTGCCATCACTTACTGCACGTGTCTTACCATTGCTTTCATCGCAAGTCTTATCACTTCCTAAAGAGTTCTCGCATTCAGTCGTGTCTTCACTTTCATCATCACTTCCACCGATTGTCTCGTCATTTGTGATATCTCTTCTGACACTCTGTTGTCTCGTGTGATCACCACTTCTTCGGCCACTTTGTGGCAAAACTTGTGACAAGTATTTCAAACTCTTTTCATAACTCTTTTGATTATCACTGCATTGATTGACACAAACGACTGACTGTTTGCTTGCATTCAAATCAATTAAATCCAGTAATCGTTGGATTAATTCGCAATCAATTGGTTTATAATTCACTAAATCATACAAACATTTGTGACATTTGTTTAACAATAAGTCGTTTCGCGATAAATCTGTTGACAAACAATTGATTTGACGTTTCAATGCATTCACTAATGAATACAACTCTTCGCGACTTAATTGCGATAAATCCGCAAAAGTTTCACTCATTTTGAGCACTAATTTAATTGCAAAACAAAATCAAAAACTATTTATTAAAAACACAAAACAATCGGCGATTTGTTTAGTTTTTATGTTTAAAAGGATTTATGAAAACAAATAACGTTTTCGTAGCAAAAAGTTTTAATCATTACATGAAATCAATTACAAAAACACTAATCATTAACGGAATTAAAGTTTTTTATTAATTTATTAAAGATTTATATAAAACAATAATACATTTCATGAAACCAATCATCACTTCCGCCGTCTCGTCACACGTCTGTCCACAACATTGTATTCATTTGCCTTACGTTTGGCGCCGACTTTCGGATATCGTTCCTCAGCTCCCACTCCGTGAGTGTTAATCATATGGTTATTGAGAACCGACTTATTCTCAGTCCTATACTCGCAGCGACTGCACCCATACCTACCCACGGGTACGCCTTTGTGTCTCAGCTCGTGATCCGCGAGGCTGTCCTTCCAGAGGAACTCCCGCTCACAGCCGGGCCATTGGCACCGGTAGACAGTCTCACGCGTATGTGTATTCATGTGTCCCTTTAAGCTGATATTTTGCGTAAACAATTTGTCGCACCCGGGCCACGAGCACCGGTACTTTAGCTCATCATTATGGGCGCTCTCGTGCCTTCCCAACAGGTATTCACTTTCGTAGCACTTCCCGCACTGCGAGCACAGGTAGCTCTTGTCGTGCCGTTGCTTATGTCGCCGCATATAGCGCTCCGACTTAGTCTTATAACGACAGCCCTCGTGGTCGCACTCGAGCCACGGTATGTCCGGTCCGGGATGTACTATCAGCACGTGATCGTTAAGACTGGTCTCGTATTTGAATGCCTTATGGCAGCCATCTATAGGACATTTGAATACCGGTTCCAACTCGTGGATCGACTCGTGTTTAGTCAACACGTATTTGTGACACGTCTTGAACGCGCAGCCCTCCCACTCGCAACGGTAGACCATGGCGTCCGGCTTTTTCATGTGAGCCCTGCGGTGGGCCATCTCGGACGCGAACTGACGCGAACAGCCCTCCCATTCGCACCGGTACGTCATGGAGGCTAAGTGCGTGGCTTTGTGTGCGTAGAGTTTGCGTAGACTCGGGAAGCACTCGTCGCACCCGACGTTTACGCACAGGTACTGACCGGTGGACGTCTTGTGAGGGCCGGACCTCATGTGCCGGTCGTAGGCCTCGACCCCAAGCAGCACTTGACAGCACTTCTGCACTTCGCACACATAGGCCGCGTAGTCACCGGTCAGTGGTTTGGGTTTGGGTTTGGGTTTCGTGTACTTCTTGGCCCTAAGACTCGACTCCGAAGTCGTGTCCACTACTCGTTGGCCACCAATTGATTCACTCGTCTCTCCAGTCGTTTCGATCGCTTCAGTAGTGTTTGTGTTAATAGTCTTTTCAATCGCTTTCATGTCTTCGGAGGGATTGCCATCACTTTCGTCACCACTTCCGGCACTGAATGGCGGACTGAATGCCTCCTCTCGCGACTCATGGCATCGAAGATCGCGTTCATTGGCGTCGGATTCGCTGTCTTCGGGCTCTTTCTTAACAATCAATGGTTTTGTTGTTTTTGTCTTCAAATCACTCGTTTGATTGTCACTCGACTTGCGCTCAACTCCTGACGCCTTTGAAGTCTTGTCCACCGATTGTTTGTCCACTTCCTCGGCAGCGCTGGACTCGTGTCCAGCGTTTGGATCGTAGTGTTTGTGACCACAAATGGCTTCAATACTAGTGAACCGTTTCCCGCATCCCATCCAACGGCAGACGTAAACCTTTCGTCTCATTCGTCTCAATTGAATCCGTTTTCCTGTCTTCGGAGGACTCATTGGGTTATCGCTTGACTCGTATCCAACGCTTGATATCTTCGGCTTAAGACTTGTCTGCGACCACTTGTCCACCGATTGTTTGTTTACTTTTGCGGCGGCGGCACTGGACTCGTGTCCAGCGTTTGGATCATAGGGTTTGTGTCGACACATGTCTGCTATACTTGTGAACCGTTTCCCACATCCACTCCAATGGCACACAAACTGTCCACTCGTGCCATCACTTACTGCACGTGTCTTACCATTGCTTTCATCACAAGTCTTAT